TTTCTTGTGCAAATTGATAGGGTTTACTCTAGCATAACGTGACGTCAGAGGTGCATAGTCATGAATTCATCATAGAAGACTCAGAAGTAAATGCGAAGGTATATTTTACTCCATACTTCCGCAGCTTAAAATCTTTCTTGATTATCGCAAACATAGCATTGAAAAATTAATTTAGTAAAATTCTTAGCTATGTGAAACTTCGAGGTTATAATGGACAATTTTAACGATTAATGTTTGTCAACTTTTGGAACAATGCTAGCCAAAATAGAAGAAATTCAAGTCATTGCAGAGTAATTCGCTCGGGTTAGAGGTGTGACATATCACGTCCAGCATTTCGTAACGTGCTGAACTACGCTTGGGGGGGGGGGGTTGTGTATATATCTGGGGGGTTTATCTTTAATTCTGTAAAATACAGAGGAACGAAATGAGCCAGGAAACTAAATAAATTAAGAAATAATGAATGAATTTCATGAATGACTGAAAAATTTGTAACAATGCCGAGGCAAGTGACCCTAAGGTCATACCGCAAAATCGGTTTCGTTGCGTAATTTTTTTTACTGGACTTTAATCAGGAATAAACTTAACAAGTTTTATATGTTACTATTGTTTAAGTTAAATGCCGACCAAATAATTGAGTTAATTTATATAATAATCTTGAAGGATCCCAGATAAAAAACCCCTGCCTAAACGAAATAATCATTTTGTTGTTCCGAATCCTGCCTTGCAAAATCTACCTACTTATTAATATTAACAATTAAGCAACAGTCAATACATAGTATTCTAACTCAACTACTTTTTAAAATTAAATTGAATAGCTAAATTGTGTTTAAAATTTGCTCTGACCGAAGCAATAGTGACATAAATAGTATGATCTCGCCCCAAAATTTACCTTGTCCCATGAACCAGCCACTAAAAGCGAAATTAATGTGTATGTAACAAATATGTATCGTGTTAACGCACCCGAACAGCACCTATAAATTACCTGCGCCGGACGGTATAACAACACATGAACTTTGACAAAAATATAACAGATTATTGCTTCTATATAAAATATTTTGGACTCCGTAACTTGCTTGCTGTCTTGCACACAGCTATCTAACTTAAGGGTTAGTTTAACCATAATGAATAAAAAGATGTTGTGAGTTGTCATTAAGTACTTTAATTCAATCCCTTTCAACACATTTTCTACGTATTACAATCACTTGACTGCTTAAATCGCAAGTTTATCAAAAAACATAAGAAAACGTGTTCTTTAACATTTTCTACGGCTTTGCTCACACAATTTCACTCGTGTCCATCACACGGCCAGCGAAATAACCATTAAACAGACCGCAACAATTCTCTTGAGGTTACATCAAAATGGCGTGGCAACTGCCAACTTTGCTCCCAGTGAAAAAAACTGAGTGCAATGCTTCGCATATTGCGGGTCGCTTACTACGCACCTATACAGCCATTGTCAGGCTCATAGGCGCAAAAATAACCTTTAAGTAGGAAAACGATTGACTTGTCTTTTCGTGCATTTAACACATCTAAAAACAATGAGTTGTAGGTGACATAACAGAAAGTTGTGCTTCGTTTCGATCCCTGGAACAATTGAAGGTGACACGGAACAACAGTTCTTTACTGTTTCGAAATCCAATGACTGACATACGTTGCCACTTCATTTTGCCGGCCGCGTTTGAATAAATACGGAATATTAAAGACAAAAAATACATTTGTTTGTGTTCAAGTGATACAAAAGAGTTTCAAAGATGGTTCACAACACTCTAGTGATTGTTGCATTTCATTTTGATACGACGATAAAGTTTTTATATTCGACTTCAATGGTTTAAATGAGGTGAAGTGTGTTTGATGGCACACGAGTCGTTCATAAATATTCTGGCCTCACATCGACCAAGTGTGACCAAAACAACGCGATTACTAAGCGAGTGTTGATCTCGACGTCACCGATCGGAAAACCGATCGCACAGCTGCGCCTGCTTAACGTTTGTTGGAGCATTCAACAATACTAAACAATCGCAATGGAATGCTAGATAATGATACAGTTTACTGATAAATGTGAAATTATTGTAGTTAAATATTAGGTAAATGATACTGTTATTGCTGAAATTTGAAAGCATCGTGGTGAAAGGCTAGATACTGAAAGGCCGAAGACTGGACAAGATCGCCCAGTCTTCGGCCATGGTAGTAGTTATGCGACTGGGATCGTTGTTCTCACTGATCTCTGCGAGTTCACTGAAGTTAGATATCGTGGCAACTTACGGACTAACAGTTTTCCTAATTTGCTTGCTTGATACGCGTAATTATTTCCATTTTTAGGGCTGCAGCTATTGATAATGGTGAACTTGCCTTAGAAATAAAATGCAGCTATTTTCGTAACATCGTGAAACATTTAATTTATTTAGTAATTAGCGAAATTTCCAGTGCTATACTAGCTAGATCTCTACATTCATGCATATATTGGACATGCCTGCTGACACCAAAGAGCGTGAAGATTACTCTCTAGCACCAATATTCAATTTTCATCACAACATTCCAGAAGCAAAGAATAATCTCTTTTTATATTCGTGTAAATTGATAGCTTAATTCTCTTCATGCGTTTAAAACGCGCCCTTCCTCAATCTAGCGATTATGTTCAAATGTTAATATGAATGCATAATTTGATTACTCAACCCTCGTCACACTGCATAACTTTACAACTTTATAATAATCGTACCGAGTTTTAGGTACTATTGTAGCTACACGATTCGTCAAGGGTTAAGTTCGTATTGTTGAATTCAACGCTCAATTAAAGATTCAATTTTATGGACATAAAAAGTTTTAGGCCAACGAAAAACTACTACCATTGATGGTAATCGCCAACGCTATTGTCTTGGTCCTGCCGTACCGTATCGTCAAGGACGGCGATACGTTAGATGTTGGACGGAAGAGGAACCAATGAAGCAGACACCATTCTGCAGACGGGAAGAAGTCGATAGCGCATTTATTAGAAAATATTATACAGTTTCAAGCTGAGTGCTTCCCGTACGAAGATCCTCATTTCTTATTTGATGACCTGCGAAGTTAATCGAGCAGGTGACAATATTATTTGTATGGAGCATGTAAATGGTACTATGTATAAGTACATTTCATTGTTCTCACATTAGTTATCAGTAAACTTCCTTAATATCAGTACAATCTAGAATCTATATGATGTCACACCGCAAATCGTATTTACTATCACGATTGGACTGCGCGATGTGGCTGCTTCAGTCAACCGACCATCGCGTCATCAACACAATTAGGTCAGCATGCAGTAGCGTCCTCCGCACGAGGCCTTGCATTCCTTGCCCGCAGTTTGGAAAACTATTATTCGAGATGACATCTGTTGACCTGTTTCCAACTTCAAGCTAGACAGCTGTTGACCTGTTTGCACCATCAACAGCGCTCAGCCTTCTCGTGGCGTTCGACATTCAGTTGGAATGTATGTTAAAAGAAAGCAAATGACACGTTGTAGTCAGGAGCAACGTTCATTTACATGTTATCCGAACTCAAGCGATGAAAAATACAATCCATGATATATGAATACTTGGATTGCAGTACTGAACATTAACTGAACAGTCTGGACGGGACTTTCAGTAAATGAGAGGACAGGAGGAAGATTCATCTTGACTTCCCTTTGTCCAACGGTCGAAAATTTTACTGAAATAGACAGTCGTCGATGATAACATATCAGATACCTCAATGTTGCTGCACGTTTTAGTCAAAGTTTATTAATCCTACAATACGATATAAGAACATTTTTAAGACACCAACTGTGAAAATTTTTCATCCAAAATGCTAATAAAAATCTCTCCATTCTCCGGAAATGAATATTAAATAAATAATTTTTCAAAATTATTTATTTGACAATTGATTCATGCATTGTCTCCGACTTTACGCAAGTGTGCAAAATTTTCAGACCGATTTGAGAGGTAGAAGTGTTTTAAGTATCGATTATAACATTTGTAGCAGACAGACAAACAAACAACAAGAAGTGTTGTAAAAACAAGTTGTCTTGGTCTTGTAAAGTAACGAGTATAATAGTTTCTCATCGTCTCGACGGATGCGTTCGATACATGGTTCTACCATGCGTTCCATAAAATTTGGCGCACCGAGCCCGCAAAATAAAAGGTTATGGAATGCCAGACTCTTTTTAATAGGTTTATTGATAAAAGCAGGTGAAATTTTTCTCGCCATAACAAATTTTTGTTATTTCTTCATTTTAATAGGTTAATTTTCGCATTTCATTCAGGTTATATTCAATTTCGTAGTTAAAGTAGGTAGTCAATTTACTCAGGGTTCATTCATTCTTCAGACAGCATTCTACGCTGCTCTAGATAAATTATTTGATCAATTAATAAATTAAATCAATCAATAACTAATCAATTGAAGTTTAACCTCAATGTAGGGCGACGTGTCAAAAGTTTGCTGAAGAACACGTTTCCTTAGCTGAGACCAAGGTTTTTTCTCTCAAATTCACTACCTCAATACTTCAAATATTATTTTCTACTTTCCGTGTAGAGTAACTACATTCCCAATAAAAGTTTATAAATTATTTCTGAAAATGCGTTCGTGCATTCATTTTCTTTATATCTTCGACATATACGTAAAATTATCCCATCACTTAGTGAACATATTTATATTTAATTGACAGGATCAGAGACTCAACGGGGCAACTTAAAAATTATTCGAGTGCCTGTTGCAAATTTGACGGCATTCGAAGTAATAATAATTGATTTGAATAAATATATATTAATTTCAAAGCTAGCTCAATTTGATCCAAATGTGAGAGGCAATCAACATTCCGCACACAATTAACTATTGAAAAAGAATGTTGATGGGCGGAAATGTTTCGTGCCTATGCATCGATAAATGAAATTCAATTGCTCAGAATAATTTATTAATAGAGGAATATTCATCTTTGTGTTTAAATAAAATAATTTACTCTTCCATCCTGACCGAAAGAGGAAATATCTCACCTGATCGACGCACTTTTTCCTTCGTGCGAGAAGATTTTCTTGCTGATCAAGATAAGATAGCCTGGAAGTTCCAGTTTATTAGACAGCTGTGCAAAATACGAGCAAGAATAAACGACAAAAAGATTTGATACGCATTTATTGAAACTAATCAAGATAATAAAATAGAACGTTATTAAAACTCGTGCATACAAAAAGCTATACTGTTGAAATTGTGTCTTTTAAATCAAGCACTGTGATAATGACTCTGCAAATCAGCCCTGCAAATCACAATCATTGCTATTGAAGTTATCCACATCGCTGACAACTTCCTACAAGCTGTCCTAGAGTGCCATTATCCTTAACAAGCACAATATACAAATAATCTCGGTCACGTCAACCACTAAGACACATTCATGAATGTCGCTGACATCACAGTGGATAAAACACGAAATTAAAGTTAATAATAATCTTACACTCACAATGGTATTCCATTTACTTCTCGTTTACCAAATCCACATCAAGTTTTACTATTAATGAATTTCAGCAAAGATCGAGATGCGAATAGTTTTAAAATTACACCAAATCAATGCGATGAAGTGCAGGAAAGTAAAGGCTCCCGACTGACCTTCTGTAAAGGCTACCTAAATTTACAGAAGGTCATACAAAAAATATCGTACCAATGAAGGCTTCAGAATCACCAGCATCAAGTTCAGCAGGGACAGTTCTAATATAAACACGAGCAGCGGGCAAAGAAAAAATTTCATACTCAAAAAATTTCAACTCCATTTGGGTAGTTTCCAAATGTGCCAACTCAGGTAAATGCCCTGCATGGGCTCAAACATTCTAATCGCAATTTTCAAATTAAACATATCATATAGCCTATCATTCTGGAAATACTTGTAATCTCTATTTTCATGAAGTGAAATCTCGGTATGTACACTTTACACCAAAAATACTCGCTAAAAATTAATATTTAAAAATCACTATCTTATCTACACAAAACGTAAAATGGTTGACACAAAATATGTGAGTACCAATTGAGCAAGAAGAATAAAGCTAGTATTGACAAGATTTGAAATAAAAAAGAAACCTTGCCTGGAGAAATGATGAAAATAATTATATGGATACATTATTTTTAAAGAGAATGAATAGAAATGGGTTATAGTCATATAAAATAAATTCAGACAGAGAAGGAGGGCACTGGGTTCAGTGACAACAAAACGCATCTCAATTCAGGGAGAAATGTTGCGAGACTTCAAACATGAGCAGCGGCAAAAAAGAACATCACAGCAAGGGGAACACGAAACAAAAGCGGGAGACTGGCCCACCAAACTACATAGGTTTTTCCACATCAGATAAGAGCAAATCAATCTACTGATAACACGAAGCCATGTCATCAAAGATAACTAACGGCTTGCACCCTCAGACCAAATAGCCCTACAAGTAACTTGACACTCCAGAATTTCGCCAGAATTCTAGTTTACAAACCACGAGTTATCTCAACCTGAGTACTGAATACTAAATTACAGACTAATCTTTAAGTGAACTGCGATATTTTTGTAGAAGTATCAAATATAGATGCAACAGCTTGGACAGAAACAGAAATTATGCAGTGCAAATATGGCATCGAATTTTATGATGCCATATGTTCTCCTCAAAAACCACTAGGTTCATCCAAAAACAAACTTTGTCTAAATTAGAGTTTAAAAAGTATTCATATGTATTAACTTTCAACACATAGAGAAACCAAAATTACTCATGGCAAAATAATTTCCCAGTTAAATTTATTTCACAACTTTTCCCTCAACGAGTTCATGAAAGGAATATAGAAGATACCTTCTAATTTTTTCTAGAATCTGGATCTAGTAACCACGCTATATTTGAGTCATAAAACGATCTGAAGAGCGCGAAGACCGTCAAAGGAACAACTACTCGGCCACTCGGCCGTGGGAGCGGGGAAGTTGCTGCCGCTTGGCTAGGGCAACTGGCTGCCGCTTGGCTAGGGCAACTGGCTGCCGCTTGGCTAGGGCAACTGGCTGGCAATACCGAGGCCCACAATGGCGCCCAGGCCCACCAGGACTCCTCCTGCGACTGCAGCTCCCTTCACTGCTTCACCCCTCATTCTTTTTTCAATTATAACCTTGAGCTCTTGCACCTGCAAACAAATTCATATAATCTAAGAAGAAAATAATGTACAAAATTCAATTTGCTAATCTTCAAAAACACAAGACTTCAGACAATTCTAGTACGTACCTATTTACAAATACTTTCTAGAATTCTAGTCAGTGGAGCCTCAGCATAATAAAACGTAGACAATATCTATGTGTTTCTTTGACTGAATGATAAGACAGTTTGGAATTAGACAATTTTGGTAGTTAGCTATCAGTGATCACAACTTTTCAAAGACACATATAATAGACTGAACACAGAAGAACAAATGCTAAAACAAAAAGCTAAAAATATAACTCAGTATTCACTGCAGTGAGTGACAGAGCGCGCATTTTCTCGTCGACGAAAACGTGGTCACGGACGGACATGACGAGCACAATAGCGCCTTTTTTCCATAAATGAGAAAATGCACTAAAAACGAATCAAAAATTGCGATCTAATACTGCATGAACCTTTGGTAGTTCAGAAACATAAAGTACTAGAAGACTAAATAAATAAAGGCTGAATAAAACTATGCACGTTACATGAAAAATCTCAGATAGTATAATTTAAACAATGTTAGCATACAGTCTCACTTAGTAGTAAGGAAGAAGATACCATGCTTAATAAAACAAAATTTTTCAAAATAAATGCATGTTTCGACTTACCTGTTTATTGCTACGCTCTACAGCCAGCAGACCATTGATGTACTGCAGCGCCTGGTTGTAGTCCTTGAGTCTGGCGTTACCTACAGCCAGGAAGTAGACGTAGTCCCTCTTGCCGCTCTCGTCAGGGTTCTGGTAGAGCTCCTCCAGGAGACTGATGCCGCGCCGAACATCGCCAGGGTATCTGAGCAACAGCAACGGCTCACAAGCAGGTAGGGAGAAAATATCTACACAATCCAAGTTTTTTTTTTATAATAGCTAATCAACTAATTACTAACCTGAAGAAATCGAAAATATTTCAATAGGAAAAATTCCTGTAAGAACTTTAAAAAAATATGCAAGTAAGAATGAGCATTCAAACTTGTGATATTCACAAGTCTAACCTAGTGAAACTGAGTGTTTTTCGAATAACAAATTACAATTTTATTATTGTATCATTGTAGTCATCAAAGAGGACATAAATGCATCTCATAGATTATAACTACAATTAAAAAACTAAAACTTGAATTGATGGAAATAATGCAAGTGATGGAGTTTTTTGGTAGACAATGCAAGTTTCCTTTAAATTATCAAGTAATTCAGAAATTAAAATTTATAATTTAAGAATAAGTGTAACGCAAGAAATTATTAATACAAATTGAAATATGTAAAGATTCACATCGTCAATATTTATTCAGGTCAAATTAAATGCTCTACTGGGCTACATCTGGCCTGCACCAGTGGTGCAGGCCAGCAAATAACCACATAGCAAATAATCTTTCCTGGAACATAGAATAAAACTTTAAATCCACTAACAAAATTTATTAAGATCATTCATTAGAGTGTCCCACTTGAGTGTGGAATGAGCTAGGCAGGAAATTCTATAATCATTGGAAGCAATTTTGTGATTACAAAATTTCATCTATTACCACGTTTTTCTTGACTTCGTTTCGTGTCTGTCTGTCATCAACGATCTAACCTTAATTTAGAGCACTTCTGAACATCCTAGAAACTTGAAATTTGGCATGCATGCTTATGCTGCCTAACAATTCAAGATTTGATCATCAGAAATAATAATAATACAAAAAAAATTTTTAGAAAAAATAAAAAAACGCAAAAAATTCACGGTTTGGAATTGAGTTTTTTCTCAAACATCCACAATTGCCAACCCTGGGAATTGATTTCAATTGCTAAAATTGCTACTAACTAAAAGTAGAAAATAAATAAATTTAAAAAAATATTTTTAAAAACTATATTTTTCTGGTTTTTACTTAACTATAAATAATGAAATAAAACAAATAAAAAAACTGTTAAAAACATGTTTTCTTAACGGACAAAAAAGAAAAACATTTACTCTTGCATAACATTACATAACATTTTATATATGTAACTTAAATGTTATGTAAGAGTAAATGTTTTTCTTTCTTGTCCATTAAGTAAACAAGTGAACGTAGTTTTTAACAGTTTTTATACCAAATTTTTCTTGACTTTGTTTCGTGTCTGTCTGTCATCAAAAATTCAAACCTTAATTTAGAGCACTTCTAAACATCCTAGTGAGCTGAAATTTGGCATGCATGCTTATGCTGCCTAACAATTCAAGATTTGATCATCAGAAGTAATAATTTAAAATTTTTTTTAATTAAAAAAAAACACTAAAAATTCATGGTTTGGAATTGATTTTTTTAAAATTTCTAACTAGAAAGTAGAAAATAAATAAATATGAAACTATTTTTAAAAAACCACATTTTCTGATTTTTACAAAATAAAAATAGTGAAATAAAACAAATAAAATTTTTTTTAAAAACCACGTTTTCTTAACAGACAAAAAGGAAAAATATTTACTCTTACATAACATTACATTACATTTTACAAAACTTAAATGTTATGTAAGAGTAAATATTTTTCTTTTCTGTCCGTTAAGATAACGTGGTTTTTTTAAAGTTTTTTGTTTGTTTTATTTTAATTTGTTTTATTTCATTACTTTTAGTTTTGTAAAAACCAGAAAAATATGGTTTTTAAAAATATTTTTATATTTATTTATTTTAAGTTTTTTTATGTTTTATTTAATTATTTTTAGTTTTGTAAAAACCAGAAAAACATGGTTTTTAAAAATGGTTATTTATATTTATTTATTTTAAGCTACTTCTGGAAATGTTAATACTTACACTCATTTTAAACTAATAACAAACACATTTAAAAATGTATATGATTAAAACAATTTTTATTTGGCAACAAAATTCAACTCAATTGGAAATTAAGAGTAGAACTTCTACCAATACATGATGCATGCTTTTGAGCATTTGTTCTTTAACTGGTCTAAAGATTTCAAAGCAACATGCAATAATAAATACAAGATAGAGCTGCCTCACTTGCTCTGGATGAGAAAGCAGGCATAGTTGAACTGAGTGCTACTGCTGACTGGCCCGCTCATCAGTTCTTTGTTGTAGGCTTCTTCATGCTTCTGCACAGAAATAGATCTTTGTCACAATAATGTTAGGGAAAACTTCAAGAACAGATGAAGTTAAAGACAATTTTAATCAATCACTTTTTTTTAAATCACTTCATAACACAAGTTGATTAACAAGTTTACACTTACTCTGATGTCATCAGATGATGATGTCCATCCAAGAAAATCATCCATGTCCATGATTAAAGAAAACCCTTCAGGAAATTCAACCTATTAATAAATATAAATAAAATTAGTAAGGTTTAGATGATTAGCTAAAAAATTTCAATCATTAGCCAGTCCAATTTACAATATGATAAATAATTATTACTGATTATTAATCTTTCCCTGGCAGGCAAATCCAGAGAAATGAATCCTTGAAAGGAAGCCCAACCATCTGTTTTTTGTCTTGTTTTGCTAGTTAAAAGTTTTACTTATCATTCTTATTCTGTTCTTTCTAGGCATTGAATTCCTGTTTCCTAAGGCTCAGTAAATGATGCTAGTGATTGGAGAGGCAAGCAGGTGAAGTTCCTCCTTTGCTGATAGCACTTCAGGTAAAACTGCTCACAGTTGTTGGAGAGTTAGATTAGTGTGGACTGTCTATCCTTGTATGTACATGTACAAATGTTTATATAAATTAGGTCAATCATCTTCAGTTGTGGTTCAATTCAAACTCAATATTTATTACCAATCTCAGTTCAACTGCCATTCAAATATAAAAGTTTTGAAGCCTTTATTCTGATTATAAAGCTGCAAGCCATTCAATTAATACAAGTAACTAAAGAGTTTGCTCTGATTTATGATTAAATTCTACTTTGCAATGAAAGGTGAGTCAGCTTGTCTTGCATACTTGTTGCTGCAAATCAATGCTTGGAGTTTCTCATGTCTTTTAGTGTGTCAGTTTTAAAACACAATTCTACATACCTAATCAACAGTCTGAAAGAAATAGCTTGATATCATTAAATATTTTTTATTACTTTCAATATTTAGCAACAATTGTCAATTTTTCCCCATGAAACTTGTACTTTCTAATAAAAAGTGCAGAAATCTATTAAAGGTAAAGTTTTAACTGAAAATTTATGGGGACATTCATTGAATAATTGAAACCACTCAATGGGTTTGAAATTTTAGTACTATTTTTAAGGTGCTTTTGTCAAGCATTTGTATTCCACATTTGAAATGAGCTAGAATTTCAAAGGCCAAGTTGTAGTATGGCATTGGCATCAGTTGCTTGGACATGGACAGCTCCATTGTCCACTGGGGGAGAGTAGAGACAATGGAGGATATTTTTGGTAACTCAGGGGGAAATTTTTATTATGAAAATATAACGAGGAATAAATGGTGAAAAGGCTCTGGCATTGGTGGGGCTAAAGGCCAAGTTAGGGAGGTACAAGGAGTTTTAAAAAACTATAAATTTCCTAAACCAAAACAAGACATAACTAGAAATTATTTTTTATAGCAACTAAAATGCATTAAGGACTTAAGGTAAATAAATAGTTCAAAACAAGAAATAATCATGCAAGGAACACAAAAAAATGTAGATATTCCAATTCTAAACTGAGTAAAAGAAGCATAAAAACTCTCAGTAAATATTATGAGACAGGAAAGTGCAGTTATGCAAGAAGGAAAAGTAATGTGAAAGAGTGACTTTCAGTCCAAACATTGAATATATCTACTTTCTGAGGTGTAACCAGAAAATTCTTGCCATTTTTGGGAGCAGTCAGATTTCCACTACCATCAATGCTGACAATGTCATTACAGCACCTAAATTGCTGGCCTTCAATAAAAAAGATCTTTTTACAACACTTCTCTTTAACTTCACTTCATATTGTTTGTTTGTTTGTCTGCTACAAATCTTATAATCGATTTTTAACACACTTCTACCTCTCCAATCGATCTGAAATTTTGCACACTTGCGTAAAGTTGGAGACAATGCTTGAATCAATTGACAGAATAAATAATTTGAAAAATGTAATTTTTTAATGTTTCAAAATAAAATAAATTCATTACAACAAGTACATGTGTAATGTTAAGAGACACTGGCCCTTTTAGAAGTGTTGTCTTTAAGAAGTAATTTTTAAACGCATATTTTACTACACTTCTCATTAACTTCACTTCTTGTTTGTCTGTTTGTCTGTCTGCTACAAATCTTATAATCAAAATTTAACACACTTCTACTTATCCCATCGATCTGAAATTCTGCACACTTGCATAAAGTTGGAGACAATGCATGAATCAAATGACAAAATAAATTATTTTAAAAATAAAATAATAAAAATTCTTGAAATATTAACAAAATTGAAAAAATAATTTTGTCAGCTGCAAATCTAATAACTGATGTTTAACACACTTCTACCTGTCCAATTGATCTGAAATTTTGCACACTTGTGTGAAATTGGAGGCAATGCTTGAATCCATTGACAGAATAAATAATTTTGAGAAAAAAATTTATAATATAAGAAAATTGAAAAATTAATTTTTTTAATATTCAAAAATAAAATAAGAAATTCATTGTACATCTTTAACATTGGAGACACTGGATTCTTTAGAAGTGTTGTCTTTAAAAAGTAATTTTTAAACATATATTATTTATGCTTGCCTTTTTGTGATACAAATATGCACATAGTAAATGTACGTACTACAGTCAAACAGGGTAATAAGGGATGGGCAGGGTAATAAGGACAGTCCTCCAACATTTTGTAGAAATGTTGTAGCAGCTAAACTAATCAAAATTTTGCAAAACTAGAAATAGCGGCATAAAGTTCAACATTTTTACTATCTATGCAGCATAAAGCAAGTTGAGAAATCATACATTTATTACCTCTAAAAATCCTTGAAAAAAAGTGTGAAAAGCAAGATTTTGAAAAAGTACCTCTGCTAAGGTCTGTAGCAGAAAAAATATTCGTCATATTGACAAATTTTAATTACATGAAAGTTGCACACTGGTGTTGACTTAAAAACGTGATTAAAAGAATTTGCATATCTCATTCCAAGAAAAAATGGCAGCCATTTACACAAAACAGGGTAATAAGGGACACCCCTAAAATTGCATTTACAGTAGAACCTTGTTAAGCAAAGGCTCCAGTTAATGATAAAATAAATTAACAACAAAGAATTTTGATTACATTAACCTTGCTCAGTGAAAAAAAATTTCACTTAACAAAAAATTACTGCATCAGTCATCACAAAATTGTGCATAGAATGTCATAGATAGAATTGAGCACTGGGCAACAAAGAATGAAAAGTTTAGCCTTCAACTGGTCAAGATCGCTGCCATATCTACTGCTCACTTTTATCAAACTACATAATTTTCCTTTCCTTTGCTATTTTGAAGGATTCATTATAATTATTCCCATATATTCTTAAGTTTGATTAGCGCGGTTTTGCTTAACACGGTAAAACTTGGGGATTTATTAACCGCGTTAATCAAGGGATTGCTGTAGTGAATTCACTTGACTTGATTAAAATTGTGCAAAATTACAAGCCATCCTGTAAGCTTACAGATACAGAAGAAATGCTACATGGCTGCTGAAATGAAGCTTGCAGTGGACAAGGTCATTGTCAATGCTCAATGGCATGTCCATGGATACAGTAATATCACATTAATAATACAATTATGTATGGATAAGGTAATATTATATCAATAAAGAAAAACCAAGTAAAATTCACAGAAAATGTCATTTATTCTACATTTACATCATCTAAAAAGGAAGAGGAGGACTTCAGAGTACTGTTAGTAATAGATGAGTACACTCTGCATGCTTCAAACGTTTTAAAATTAAGTTTTATTCCAAGTGTCCCTTATTACCCCATTTTTAGATTGATTCAGGAGCCTTTTATAGTGCGTCTAGCACCTTACAACTAGCATATAGAATTTCTTTGGAGATGCCATAACATAGCCCTTGCATAGACCTTTAAAATGAGCCCAAATTTGTTTATGAAATGTTTCATGGTAAGAAGTTATTAACAAAAAACGCTCAAAACCATCCCTTATTACCCTGTTTGATGGGACAATAATAAATATCTTTATTGCATTTGTAGGTTATCATATTTTATTTCAAGTGCCAACAACACAATTTTCCCACTTTTATCATGAACTAGATTGTTTTCATTAAAGGTCAGCAGCTTAAGTGCTGCTGGCAAGGTGGTGTAGCACTAGCAAAATATTAAACAGCCAATTTGTTAGAAAACATATATACAGAAAAATTTCTAATTTAAACAAACAGTTTGCGTAATTCTAGAAACTAAAGGGCATTTAGGTTAGGGTTCAGATAGCCTTCTAAAAACATATTCTTATCCTAAGCTTGATCAACAAGTTTTGTGACAAGATAAGAATTGAATGACAAATGGAATCAAAAACTATGCACTGTAATTTTCTCTAAATTTTATGGTAATGCTGTAAACAAGCACAACATCACAGTGTCATAGTGTCTAATTACCTAGCCTTAACACATTGCTGGAGGTGGAGTGGAATATATCTACCATTTAAGCCAGGATTAGAATTTTCCTACTTGTTTCTGAAATCTCGCGGCTTCAACGTGACAAATCTTTGATACATTTGGAATCTTGCAGCCTGATTGTGCATTTTTGTTAACAATTATATAAGAGGTAATTTATCTGGCAGAAATCTCGTGGTTCTGGAAATGGTTGGAAAGCTCTAGTTGCGGCCCTAAGGTTAGAAGTTTTCTATGCTTGGTTTAAGCCACCCCTGCAGCTTAGCCACCATTTTCAGAGCTGCAATATTCCTATTTACTGCTACATCAATTACCGTCATACGGGATAAAAAGGGACGGTTATGAGGGTTTTTTGTTAATAACTTCTTACCATGAAACATTTCAGAAACAAGATTAGACTCATTTTATAGGTCATTGTGAGGGCTATCCAATGGCATTTTCAAAAAATTCCATATGTTACGGTATTCGTAAGGTGCCAGATGCAAAAGAAAACCATCCCGATTTACCCCTGGGAACGGGGTAATCCGGGACACTTGCAATAAAAGTTAATTTTAAAACTTTTGAAGCATGCAGATTGCAGAGTGTACTCATCCATTACTAACAGTACTTTGAAGTCCTTCTCTTTCATTGTAGATGATGTTGATGTAAAATAAATGTCATTTTCTGTGATTTTTACTTGTTTTTCCTTTATTGAAATTATATTACCATATTCATTAATTACTGTATTATTAATGTGATATTACTGTATCCATGGACATGCCATTGAGCATTGACAACAACTCTGTCCACTGCAAGCTTCATATCAGCAGGTATGTAGCATTTCTTCTGTATCAGTAAGCTTACAGGATGGTTTGTAATTTCGCACAATTTTAATTGAGTCAAGTGATTTCACTATAACAAAAAAGATTGTGAAAAACATACCTGAAAAAGAAAATAATGTTTTAGTGACAACCATCATATGTTTTGGAGAAATAAATCATAGTTTAGGTCAATTACTTTTCATTCTATGATGCCCGGTGCACAATTCTATATATAGCATTCTATGTACAATTTTGTGACGACCGATGATGCACTAATTTTTTGATAAGTAAATTTTTTTCCGCTGAGTGAGGTAAATGTAATCAAAATTCTTTGTTGTTAATCAATTTTTTTTGTTAACTGGAATGGAAACTTTGCTAACTGAGGTTCTACTGTAAATGCATTTTTAAGGGTGTCTCTAATTAACCCCAGGGGGGTGTCCCGAGTAGCCCCGCCAAGCAGAAATGGCTGCCATTTTTCTTTATATGAGATAGGGAAATTCCGTCAATTACGCTTTCAAGCCGTCACCTGGGTGCAACTTTTATGTAAGTAAAATTTTTTAATACAGCGAATATTTTTTTTTTGCTGCAGACTTTAGCAGAGGTACTTTTCCAAAATTGCACTTTTCACACTTTTTTTCAGCAATTTTTAAGAGATAGTAAATGTTTGATTTCTTGACTAGCTTTATACATAATAGATAGTAAAAATGTTGAAGTTTACACCACTATTTTTAGTTTTGCAATATTTTAATTAGTTTAGTTGCTATAACAGTTTCACGAAATGTGGGACGCGCGTCCTGATTTACCCCGCCCGTCCCTTTTTACCCCATTCGACAGTATCTCTGATCTAATTATCAAAAAACACTGCAATAGGGTTGAAAGATTTGACTGTTTGACATGTATCAAAAATGAGTAGGGTAAACGTGATATATTCCGACATCACAGGTAATACCGTCACCTATCTAGTTTTTCCTTTATATTAAGCTTTTTTAAGTTCCATGCGTTGTTGATGGTTGAAATGGTGACGTCATACATTTGCGTAGAAATACTGCAAAAACACTAGGTCTTGGCCATCTAGTGGGAAAATATTGAGATCCAAAGAGAGAATGCATGCCACCTGGTGAGATCATCGAAAAATGTGTCAAATTTGACAGTTGACCTTGCTCTACCAAATAGTGAATAACTGTTTTTATAGGAAGAATATTATGGTTTGAGACTTTTAAATACATCTGTGAATATATTAGGAATCCTTTAAGTAAACTTGTATTCACTAATTTCAAGTCATAAATAAATTAATAGATGATAAAGTTGAGTGATGGATTTAGACCCATCAAAACTAATTCCGACAACTTGAATTGGACACACACAGATCGTTCCAAGCTTTGTACAAAAATTGAAATTTGCTTAATTAAAAGCCTAATAGCTGTTAATTAAAACGTAATTAAGTAGTGTTCAATATTCGTTAGTGTTCTAATTCAAAGCCGTGTTGTATCCCAATACAGCTCACACAGCAAACGGAATTCAAACACGTGGATGTCGGCATTACGTATCAGTTAAATTTGAAGCGCTGACGCAATACGACTCACCAGATATTGCCACACACAGTGACGGGATATAGGGATTTGGTAGGTTTCCATTCTTAGCATTCTAAAGGCTTTTTTATAAATATGGCAACATTTTGTGACGTTTCATCGTTGCTGACGCCTAGTGAGGTGTTTTGAGAGTCACGTGAAGCCAACAGAACTTACATAACGCATATGTTTTTTTTATAGTTTTTCATTTCTCGATGCGTCCTTAATGTGTCGGAATATACCGCGTTTACCCTAAATTTGGAGCACCAAAATTTCATTCATTGGTAGCAGTTAGGACAATTCCAATCCAGATCAATGCAATGCATATATGTTAATATAGCTAATTCAGAAATTATTTCATTTATATATACATATTATTATTCTGCAGCAGGATTGAAATTTTTTTCAGATAAAGCTTAGCCTGCTTAGGGCAGGGCACTGAGGGGAGGATAGGGCCCCAAACTAGAGAAGAATTATTCTTCTTATTACTGGAATCTTGTGGAAAATTTATAACAATTTTGACAACTTATTGTTGCATTAGCCTACATTTGGAAATTTGAATCTCACAGCCTGGCCTGAGGCCCCTGATGAGTTATTCTTCTTCTTTACAACTTACAAGCCTACAAGCCTCCGGCTTGTAGTACAAGGTGTCCACGGGACTACATTGGGCGGACTCAGGACTGAAAGACAAAGCACAGGAGTGACAGGACAACCACAAGGGTCAAGGATGACCATTGGGCCTGAGAGGCAAGAGCTTAGGCGGGCCTAGATTATTAGGCTAGATACAGTTGCATAGTGGCAAAGCAGAGAGTTTTTTAGACTCTGTCTCAAGTTCATTTTTGAGTCCTATAAGTAGACCAGTAAAGTATCTTGGATACCAGCATTATCATACTTATGAAATTGGTTAAAATCTTGAGTAAATGAGGAAATTAAAAATGAACTGATTCTAAAAAATCTCTGGTTTGTCACTGTGTACAGTTGTACATATATAAGCTGCATTTTGATATTTTGGCACCTATATAAAGTTTGCTGAGCCTTCCTGATTTCAAAATGTAAAGTCCATAGTGGCAAAGCAGAAAGTTTTTTAGACTCTCCCTGAGACTCCCTCAAGTTCATTTTTGAGTTCTATATGTTAGATTGTAGAGATTGTATACCAGTAAACTTGAGTAAAGTATCCTGGATACCTGCATTTTTATACATAAGATATTGGTTTAAATTGTGAGTAAATGAGGAAATTAAAAATGAACTGATTCTAAACAATCTGTGGTTTGTCACTATGATGTAAACAGTCAAAAATTGAAAGATATTCATTAGCACATCATCATTAAAGTTCCTGCCCCCCAGAAATTCACACAGGAAAAATTGTATATTTATACGTCTTTAATTAGTTTCTAGACTGAATTCCAGTTTTTGTCTAGGCTGCACATGTTGCTGACAATGGCCTGATGAGTGATGACCCAATTGTGCACTGTGCAGTTTTATTAGGCAGGAGGCTAGGTCTGCTAGGAGCCTAGGACTAGGAGTAGGACTTGGTAGTAGGACTAAGAAATAGGACTAGACTCACTGGGTAGGGTAGAGCACTGCCCTACCTTGCTACATGGCACACCTACGTCTCAGGCTAGGAGGTAATTTATCTACCTAGAATCTAGTGAAAATCTTGTAGACCATTGCCATTGGCATTGGAAAGCTCTATTTGCAGCTCAAAATGTGGATATATTTGGTGCCTGGTCACTCAGTGGTCAGTGTCAGTGGATCAGGCTGGTCTGTGGTCTCTCAAGACTTTCATTGCTCCTACCACAGAAAAGATTAGGTACTCTCTAGTCCCGCTTATAGAATTTTTACCATTAACATATATTCAATTATTTTTACGGCAAAAATGCATTATTTAGTACTAATTTACTGTGATTCTGCTAAAAAAAATAAAAAAAAAGTTTGTAAAACGCATAGCTGTTAGCCTGTTACGAAAAGGTTATTAAACTCGCACGTTACAAAAAGAATACAATTGTTTATCGCTATTAAAAAGGCGATAAATACATTGCAGTTAAACGATGGAATCATTTACATTGTTATTACACCGTTTCAAGTCAGACACTTTGTTCCCGTCCTCCGTGTGTAACAGGTGATAGGTTTGTTCTTTGTTGCGTCACTTTAAAATTGCTATAGAAGCCGATCAAAGAAATCATGACACGGGCACAGTGTGACAGCCTTTAGTAGTAAAAATGTATATTAATTGCTGACAGTTTTTTTTAATTGCGTAGTGGTGTTTATGACTGGAAACGGTATTATTGCAGATTAACTACATCAAAAAAAAGGGTGTTTTTTTTTTAATTATATGTTTTTTGGGGTGTAGATTACGAATCTGAAATCCATTTTTGGCGGTCGGCATCGGAAAACCGATTTTTTTTGCAGTGCAACGGGTAACATTTTCGTCTTCTTTACCCGTTGCAGTGCAACGGGTAAGTTTCATTCAAGATGTCGTGCGCTACGTGTGATCTCTCGATGTGGCAATGTATCTCCAGATTTATGGACAAAGAAGACGAAAGTGTAAGTTATTTAGTGACTCATGGTATACTTAGTGACAAACCTCCTACCTGCCCTAAGTGTAACAGTAAGTCGTAAGTGTGTGTACAGGGCTACAAATGACGACTGGCAGTGTTTCAAAAAAGTGGTTCCGGGAAAGAAGAAGAAGGAAAAAGTTTGTAACTACTCCCGCGCAAGAAGGATTGGAACCTTTCTCCAGGGTGTAAGAATGCCTGCATGGAAAGTACTGCTTTTTTGCAGGGCATATCTGGAGAAGAACTTCAGTGTTACTTATGTTAAAAGTCAACTTAACATTTCAGAACACACTGCTATAGACTGGACCTCTTTTTGTGCAGAAATATGTGAATATTGGCTCCAACAGCAGAAGCCAATCGGAGGGCCAGGAGTTCAGGTTGAAATAGATGAAACAGTAATCAGCAAACGAAAGTACAACCGTGGACGTATGCTGAAGACAGTTTGGCTTTTTGGAGGGATTGAGAGAGTGGGGAAGAAATTCTTCATAATCCCACTAATCACGGAAGGAGAGGAAGGAACGGAACCTGACGTCGTGCCAAGATCTGCTGAGAATCTCGTTACTCACATTAAGCAATTCATTGTTCCTGGTTCTGTTGTTTATAGTGACATGTGGAAAGGATACGACTCATTAGGCAAGATAGGATACACGCACCATAGAGTCAATCATTCAAAGGAGTTTGTGTCAACAAGTGACACCAGTGTCCACACACAAAACATTGAACGTCTCTGGCGCGACGTGAAGGAGTGGGTTAAAAAGCCTGGTATTGTGCTCTATCACGTCAAAAAGTACATCGCCAGGTATGTCTTTTGCAAGATGGTGACTGAAGAAGCAAAATTTCATGAATTTCTCCTCACTGCTGCAAAGATGTACCCACACGACGGTAATAAGATAAGACCAGATCCACGACTGACTGACGCTTAATAAGAAAGCTAACCACGGTCATAGGCCTCTTGGGGAAAGGCCCGTGGTATATAAATTAAAGCCTTAACGCGCCTAAGCTGAAACCTCCTGGGTGGTGCGGAATAGCAGCCTATATCGTAACCTAACCTAACCTATGAATAGAATAGGCCCGAGAACGCTTCCTTGTGGCACGCCGCTGCGCACAGAAGCCCAGTCTGATACGGACCCATTAATACTGACACGTTGAAATTCCCCTCCCTATTAGAAAATCTCTGATCCATTTGAGTACATTACTTTCAATTCCCCAAGACTTCAATTTACGCAACAACCGCTCATGTGGGACACCGTCAAATGCCTTGGTCAGTAAGTAAGTAATATTGCAAAGTTCCTTTGGCTGACGTGTGCAATAGCATATGATAACATATGCTATTGCACATATGCTATTCACAAAGTTCCTTTAGATAACGTGTGCATTAGCTTGTAGCTTATAATGACATATCAGAAATATTCTTTGGCTATATAACGTGTGCACTAGCTTATAATGACATATCACTAATTTCCTTTGGCTGACGTGGGCACTAGCTTATAATGACATATCACAAAGTTTCTTTGACTAATGTGTGCACTAGCTTATAATGACTTATCACAAATTTCCTTTGGCTGATGAGTGATGTGTGCACTAGCTTATAATGGCATATTATGAAGTTCCTTTGGCTAACGTGTACACTAGCCTATAATGACATATCACAATAAACAGCTAAAATAACTAACTTATCACAATAACCAGGTAAAAATATATTCCTTTGGAGTTAACATAGGTGAAGCTACACTCTACTACAATTTATGGTCTTTTATTGATGTGCGAAAGGCAAGCAATAATGCAATCAGTGATTATTATCAATGCAGAAAGTCGTTCACTGATGAAACTCTTTGAAGCAGTTTTTTGCAGAGTTACAGCGGAGATGCAGTTTGCACTGCTCACATTCGGGAGCGCAGCCGCGCACCACCAATTTTGTGCACCAATAAGCCCTGAATCGAACGCCTTGGATCTCTCCGGACATAATCCAATCAGCCGCGAACCATTCGGCTTTGTCTTCTTCCGGCCTCGCATAAAACCGGCCGTGCACCACCAGGCCGCGGATCGAATCTGATTTCCGGGCATCATTAAATTACGTAGTTTTACGTTCACCGCATCTGAGGTTAGGTTTCAGATAGCATAGTTCTGTTCCAAAATTTATCGTCCTTCGTCAAGTGGCCATTCGACCGAGGGCTGGTTCGACCCACGGCCTAGATAAGGACGGCTTGAAGTGTTGAAGGCTACGTTCCGAAAGGCAGGAATCATGATGGTCCATTACATCCAGGGCAGTGGTGGTCTTCGGCAGGCGGCCCTTCACATTCTTCGGCAGGTCTTGCTTCTTCTCCCTTCTTCGAGCACTCTGGGCACCTGCCCCTGGACACTTTGAACTGAGGCCAATGTTCTCCTACATTGGACAATCTCACTGAAGCTGGAGTCGATAAGTCACTCTTTCTACGTCTCTTGCGGCTTGCTGTTGGCTCTGTTGCAAATGTCAGGAGTCCAGAGCCCAGTTCTTTCCAGTAATCCAGGAGACCAATCGTTCGGTGTCCAGCATTTCTATACGGTATAAATGAATTGATTGTGGCCATGTCTAGCAATTAAAAGAAGATCCGATGCCAGCATTTGACGTTTTTCTTGTTGATGCCATACTGATACAGCTGACGTAGTTGGTCATGCCTATCAAGCCCTCTTATCATGTGTTCATTGTAGTCTTTGATGGCGAGAGGATCCTTCACAATGATTTTTTTACTATTTTTCGCTAATGGGAAACTGTGGGGGTTTCAATTCCATGAAAGTTTGAAATAAGATGAAGTGCTTTCGAGTCCGTCCACTTGGAACAGTTATTCCATCTTGCGTTGTTGGGATGCAGCTATCAGTGGCATTTTCTTCAGAAGTGATCTGTATCACTAAGTGTTCATCATCGTTTCGTGCGTCGTTCATCGTGAGAAAAGAGAAAACACTGTAATGTTCTTTGTAGGTTCGTGGTCACTCTCAACATCAGCATTAGAGCTGAAATCACTTTCAATTTCCTCCAAGAGTTCCGCAATCTCCTCGTCCATTAGATACCTCCACGTCATATTTACCTGAAACCAAAAATATTTATCATTACAGCGAATAAACTGATCGCTCTCAAACCATGACATGGTATAAAATGAAACCAAATGATGATCATCTGTATAAAATTCATAACTGAAGCGCATATACGGAGTGTTATCATAAAATATAATTCATGAAAATTCAATTTTTCTATACGAGTTTGTTATTGAAATACGTAAACTGCCATATATCGGTCAATAAATATTATAAAATTATATGGAAGAAATTCGGAATATATATGACTAAAAAACATATACCGAGTATTCTCAATCGATAAAGCAATATAATATACAACAAAATTAGATCATTATGAATGAGTTTTTGGAGGGAGGGTTTAGGTTTTTCTAAACTGTGGTTGAAATTGAATAAGATTTTGCCGTCCCTCCTCCTTTAATTGATGGATGGTATTATATCGATTAGGTTGGAGTGAAGATTGTGAAGCTCAGATAGTTCATTGGGGTTGAAGAATGTCGCGCACTAGCACGGGTCTCCAGAAAATGGAGGCGGTCTAGACGCCTAACGATGGCTTTCCGTAAAGGTCCAGGAAAAAAAACTTGATGCTTCAGTGAACATTTACTTCATAAACCACCGTGAATCCTGCACGATCAGAAATAAATGTTCTCGCTCCTACTGGATGTCAAATACAATAGTTCAGGCACAATTTAAATGATTGTTTATGCTAATAACAAATTTTAATCGCGAACTAAGAGCACAAAAAGCTGCAGCGTTCTCGAGCCGCAGAGCACGTTCAGTTTGAATGAAGGGCGGCGTCGGTTCTGTTTCCAACTCGCGGGAAAATCCTCGAGGTTGGCGAGAAGTTTCTGTTTCCTGTTCCTTCGCGTTAATATTTATTTTATAAACGCGACAAAGAAGGAATGCGCCGATCAAAAAAAACATGTATCAGTGATGATCGTTAGAATCGACAAGACATGAACACGATGGAATAACAATATAAAAACACAGAAAATACAAATGATTCAAGTGTGACAGTTACAGTACATTGAAATGTTTATGGCATGAAAATAATTGAATTGTAGTGAAGAACTTGGCGTCTTACCCCGTTTAGATGTTCACTCCACGCGTTGTTCAGAAAATGACTCTATAGCTAGTGCGCGCTTGGCAAATGGTTCTCTGCTGTCGTTCTTAAGAAATTTCACAATATTTTTATGGTACGATTCAACATAAATAATTTTGACATTTACTAAACTTTATCATTTAGTAATTACACGAGTTTTATTCGTGCTCAAAATTGATGATTACCTAACTGTACACTTCTACAATGGTTTGAAATGAAATTGATGAAATATGAAATACATAATCGAGATCAAGATAATTAGGTAAGATATTGTTACAGAGGTCGATAATCACGAGTTTGAAGGTTTAATACAATTAATTGACATTCGAGAGAAATGCTAGTGCTAGATGTGAATTCGAGTCACTACAAGTTCATGTCATCATGTAACGTTGCAACCTCCTACCACCGGGACATCTCAGTCCCGCCTCAACCACAGGGATAAATTAGTCCTACTCACATTTATATATATTGAATTATTATTGGTGTATTACACTTGACGTAACACAGATCTATCCACTTACCAATACTTTAGCAGTAAACTTAAAAAAAATAGTAGCAGTTCACCGTATTGGCTAAAAAATACAATGGGCAAAAAACATACTCAGCGTATCCAGAAACCACTCGATGCTCAATGATGTTTGTTGCGGTGAAAACCTCACCAGATGCCAGATGTCGCTATATTTTGGTGCAAAAGTGTTTCTAAGGAGAGCGCAGCCGCGAAACAAAAATTTAACTCATAAACAAGCCCTAGCGCCAACGCCTACCCTCATAATGCAATAACTATACTCAGCCTCATTCCCTAGAAGCTGTAGGTAACTGAGTCTTCTCACCACACCAACTATAACGCACAGCTGCTTCACTCCACAGCCTGCTGCATCAAATAGTAGGCAAGGGCTGTGATGCCTCGGGTCGCCTGCCGAAGACCACCACTGCCCTGGATGTAATGGACCATCATGATTCCTGCCTTCCGGAACGTAGCCTTCAACACTTCAAGCCGTCCGTATCTAGGCCATGGGTCGAACCAGCCCTCGGTCGAACGGCCACTTGTCGAAGGACGATAAATTTTGGAACAGAACTATGCTATCTGAAACCTAACCTCAGATGCGGTAAACGTAAATTACGTAAATTAACGATGCCTGGAAGTCATATTCGATCCGCGGCCTGGTGGTGCACGGCAGGTGGTGGTCAAGGCCGGAAGAGGACAAAGCCGAGTGGTGCACGGCTGATTGGTGTAGGTCCGGAGAGATCCCAGGCGTTCGACTCACGGCTTATTGGTGCACAAAATTGGTGGTGCACGGCTGCGCTCCCGATGCCTCTAGCATGCATCCCTTTCT